TAAACAGTACTTCCACTTTAACAAGAGTATTTTTTAACACAAGTATCTGTACTTTTACTCAAGTACGGAAAGTGAGTACTTTTGCCATCTCTGTTTATAGGTTAAAGTTGGGGAAACTTAACAACCCTAACAAGCTTCTTTTTAAAAATCCTCTGCTGGTATACTGCAGCACTAATGGTGAGCTGCATTCACATTAAAGATGAGATTAGCTTTGCCCCTTTGGCTAAAACCAAAAGAAAAGTTAGGCAGTTTTTTACATTTCTTGTTCTGCCACTTAAACAAGGGAAGGAAATGCTGTAGAAAATATAATCCACTATCAAATTTCAAGAGGAATGATTCAGGTCTTTAGCCATAAATTTGTATTTTTGTGTAAGTGCTGTTGTTGACTGCCTCTCCTGTTTTTCCACCCACTGCAAAAGGGTGGGAATGAAAATCAGCGTGATAAATGCAGCACCACACAAGCAGAGGAGCAGCTCCAGGGAGCAGATTACTGCAGAAGACATTTTCAAAACACTCGAGATAATCCTCCTTCTCTGCCACTCGCTCTTTCAACCCAAATAAAAACCTTAAAATCTATTAGAACAACATATTCATGCAATTTACTACTGTGCAACTTATCTTTGTTTTTCTTATACTTCTCCTTATCCAGTTTACCTACTTATGATGTGTTTTCTCTCTGTCTCCCACTGTTAGGTGTCTGTCTTGTGCTGGGGTGTATGATCTATCCTGATGGCTGGGACAGCGATGAAGTCAGGAGGATGTGTGGGGAGCAGACAGACAAGTACAGCCTGGGAGCTTGTTCAGTGCGCTGGGCTTACATCTTGGCAATCATGGGCATCCTGGATGCCCTCATACTCTCCTTCCTGGCCTTTGTCCTGGGGAACCGACAGGATGGGCTAATGACGGAGGAGCTGCTGGCTGAAAGCAAGGGTGAGGACGTGTATGACTGATCGCACAAAATAGAGCAGAGGGAAAAGTTTGGCCTCTTTGGAGGAGACAAAAAAATCACAGATGGGGAACTAATTTTCAACTGCCGTAAAGATTAAATGCCGTGAGCAATATTATAGCTACGCTTTTAGCCTTCATTTAAAGCACATCACAGCAATGAACTGAAGCAATCGCAGTAACAAATGTCCCAATTGGTACAGCAGTAAATTAGGCTTTTTTTTCTCAGTGGTGCATTTAAAACTAACAACCACAGCACTTTATCAGACTGACTGAATTAAAAAAAAATTGCGGTCAGAGTCGGTTTATCTGTAGATCAGATTTAACAGTTTCATATGTTGTGCCACAAGGCTCCAGTCAAGGTCAAGTTTTAATCTCCCTTCACACATTCCCATTGGTTAATACTACCAGGAAACATCAGAATAAAAATAAAAGTTTATCGATACCCTCAGCCAAAATCCTTAAACCATTTGATTGACTTACAGCCTTCTTTTTTTTAGACTTTAAATTGTGGATGTTTAAAGTAAAAGTCCGGTTAGCAAGGAATGATCAATGGATCATTATTTATACCCAAAACTAATACGTTTGCGGCGATTTAATGGATTTAGCGTTTATCAGTAAAAAAATAAAAACAATAATTTTCATTACGATCTGGGAGCGGCCATTTTTGCCCAAATATAGTAACCCCTCCCTCCTGCCATCTTCCAGCAGTGACGTCATGGTGCGGTAAG